TTCATGAAGTTCTTGTTTTCATATTTAAAATTCAATCAGATTATATTAATCAAACCACTAGATTAGGAATGAATTATTGTAGATCCAATGTTCAAATTGAAAAATTTGATCAGATTATATATGTAAATCAAATAACATTCTCTTTCTTTTACCCAAATTGAACCTATTTGGGCTGTTTAATTGACATGTGTCCATTCTTTTCTTAGTATTTTATTCTAATTGTTTGCTCATAGTCTCTCAAGAAAGATGATTTGTGCATATGATTTAAGCAATTAAAAAGCGAGCTTATAAGAAGTACCATGAGATCTGTCTCATTGAAGAGTTATTTAAGAAGAAAAACAAAACATCTTAGATGAGATTGCGCAGATCAATGAAATGCAATATAAACAGATTGAAAAAGAGATATATTTGTTTGAACATGTAACATAAAACGTATAAATTTTAGTTTGAGGTCATGACCTGTGTTGTATGGTCACTGTATACTGTAAGAATTGATATATTATTGATTGATGTATTGATGTATTACAAGATTGATTGAATTACAATTCCTATACAATCTATATATAGAAGAAAATGTGGTAGTAGGTGTAGTGGAGGTGATAGTGGGTTAGGTGAAGTGGAGTGTGTTGAAAACTCGGCGAAGGAAAAGATGGGAAATTCTAACAGCCCCCCTAGACATTTATATCCCACATCATAAGCATTACCCTACCAGAATCCGATGTAGAAACCATTTACACAAACAAAAATTCTATCATATTTTCAGATGTATTCAGAATTGTGTGAATATATATGAACATATACAACTTCCAATTTGATAATTGGATAACAAAACTGCAGCAAAACTGTGCATTGCAATAACAAAAGCTAGGAATGGACACAACGATGTGAGGAAAAATTGACAAAAAAGAAGAAGATTGAATTGTCAAGCACACAAACAAGTCCAACATTGTCAACCAATTACATAAGATGTTCAGACTCAAGATTGAATTGTCATGTTTGCATGGTTTTTCTCAGACTTCATAAAAAAAGTAAAGAAAAAAGAAATATTGCATGTGTAAATGGCTATACCCCAAAGCTAAATTTTTTTGTCTATGATAAATTGGTCACAGAGATCCGCTTTCTACCAACAACTAGGACCAATGATATATATATATATTTCTTTTTGTTTGGGGGGGGGGAAGGGGGTTGACCATGTTCAAATTGAGCTAAATGGTATCTTTCTCCTTTGTAAGGTACAAGATATCATTTCATGTTTGGATACTAAACATCCATCAAGTAAAACTCATCTATTTTAAAATCTCAAAATAAAATTAAAGTAAGAAATTATAAATGTAATAATAAATATGGAGATGTGAGTGTGGTGCATCTATTGTAGCAATTAAATATAAAACAGTTACCTCCTTGTGGTTTTGAAAAATTATAATTAGGATTCCTAATTGTATCCAAGAAGATCCGAGTATCGTGTGCACTTCCTTCTGATCCTGGTAAGCAAAATGTGAAACACATATCAAAGTCACATGCAGCCATTATGTTTTGAGTTGTATATCCCTTTCTACATTTTAAACGAGGTTGCTTATTCAGAGATATATATGTTTTGATGTGTGTTCC